AGGTGTTCTAGCATCCATATTCCTGGTCAAAATTTAAGTTAAACTTAAGCTCAGTGTCTAACACCCTCCAGATTTCTTTCCCAGGCACCTCAAAGGTCAAACATATTTTCCTAGATTGGTCACTTGTGATTCTACTGCAATTGTGGGCAGCTCAATGGCCAAATTATTTTAGAATATTTATAGGCCACTGCGGGAGTACAAAGGAGGCAAACACTTTTGTCATCTCATATCTTCCAGAGTACTTATGTCCCTCATGGGAAGCTGGTGGCTTAAGACAGTTTTCAAGACTGAGTACTATGTCAGAAGCTAATGAGGACAACAATGTAAGGACAGAGCCAGGCTTTGTCAGGTTTGAAGCTATAGACAGTTTAAAATGCTTTATTTAAGAGAAATAATAAAAGGTCACAAACAAAAAAGCAGATATACAATTTCTTAGTTAGAAGGATTCCTCCTAAAGTTGGGGAAATCCCAAAGTTTGAGCGTAATTTACTTCTTCAGAATGCAACTTTGTAATGGAAGCAACATCGGAAGACACAGGAATCTCTGCTGTCATGCTGATGGGTGGGACATTTCTAAACCCCAAGAGGGAACATGGATATACTAACTGGAGTGGCAGAAATGCCAAGTGTTCAGAGGGGAGGTTGTGAAGACTTCAGGGGAAAAGGGGCCACTCTAAACTGGTGACAACTATGCATCTAGGAAAACTCCAGTTATTTGGAATGTTTCAGGAGATGGGAATCCTTGAATCTACTTTTCAAATTAATCAAAACAAAAATGACACCTATTAGCCACCAAAAAAATCTCTCTACATACTGCCCTGCTCCACGTTTTCCCATAGGTTAAAACAATTTTAAAAGATGACTGTGACTTACCCACCCATTGAGATGACAAGAAAAAAGGAAACCAAGTAAATGACCTAAGGTGGTGTCCTGGGTGGACACATGACTATGAAGCGTTCATTTCCTTAGCACAAAGCCCTATGCTGGCTGGGTGAATGGCTGCAGCCACACACAGTGGGTCAGGTGGTGGCCTCCTACCTACCACTTAGGGATCACTGCATCAGTGTAGACATGGCGATGCCACTTAGATTGTTCTCAGTGAGGCTGCCACACAACAAGCGGTCACTAACGATTTGCTGACTGGATGAATGACCTATGTAAGTGGTCTTGGACTGGACAAATGAGGCCAGTTTTGAAATCAACTTTTACTTCTAAGTTGTCAGACTTTTTTTGTTCCACTGAGAATTCCTTCCTTGATATGGCCTAGGTTGGTGGTGGAAGGATCAGGAAATGAAGGAGAATTAGTTTCCTTAAGCACCTAACCTATGGTAGCTGTTTTGGTGTTTGTATATTTAAAGCTTTGTAACCATTTGGCTCTTGAAGAAAAGAGACCAGAGAGCTTAAATAACTCATCTATGGCTTTTCACGAGGCAAGCGGCACAGCCAGGTTTCAAATCCAGATCTGTGTGTATAGGGCAAAGCCTCTGACTCTGCAGAAAACATGAAAGACACACAAAACTGTGACATATAGAGATGGTGTGTGTGATAAAGACGGGAGGGTGGGGTAGTAAAACACCAAACTGTTGTCTGCTGAAAAACGATCACTCTGGGCCTTGAACTGTGCCTCTGTAGGACAGCAGGGCTGAACTGGGTACCTTGGAGTGGGGTGACCTCATGGCCTGGCCCCAGCACACACCTGCTGTGTATGGCAACTATGTGAGCATCCCTTCTGACCTCAGAAGTGTCCCCCCGTGGACTGGGAGTTTCATGACGGGCCTCTTCCATGCCCCTCTCTGGCTCCTAATTTCTGTAATTTCATGTTGAATGTAATAAGGTTTCTTTGATGACTGAAGGAATGAGTTTCATTTTCCAGGCTATGAGATGTAGGAACAGCCCGCACCTTTCCTAGAGGTTACACTGCATTTCTGATGTGGGCGTTTTCCTGCCAGTGCTCCTTCCCTTTAAAATTACATCGGTAAACCCCTTTCTAGCTCCTTTGGTTCCAGGGAGGGTGGGAACGCTGCCTAAGTATTCTCTTCCAGCCTGGTGGCTACCACTTCCTGCGCATGCTTATCGTCAGCCAGTGCTGAGTGCGTCGTCTCAGTAACGCACACGGTGATGCTGCTGGGTGTTCCTCACTTTGTAGCTACAGAAACAGGGTGAAAGCAACTTGCAAGAAAGGGATGGAGCCAGGTCCTCCTAGCTTCCTGACTATTGTGCCATGTTGAGATAATGTGGACACAGTGTACACATACAGGGCAGATAATCTGAGAAATTCTCAGGCTTCTTAAACTCCCCCTGGCTTTTCCAAGATTTCTCAATGTCGGTGCTAGTCTTCATAGTTTCCACTATCCATTTTACAGACTGAGATGCAGGTTCTCAGGAAAAAAAGACAGGAAGGGCTTAGCAAGGAGGTGCAATGAATGCTTACTCAAGTGGACCTCTGCAGCCTTTATTTTTGTACGTGTGTTTTTTTAGTCTTTTCTTACCACATGGTATAAAACAGAAAACAAGCATTTGCTTCTTCATTTATGTTTACATAGACAATACTTAAAGAAAAACCACCAGTTGACACTGCATCATTCCTGCTTTTATTTATTGTCTGGCTAACTTACAGAGACGTAGATGTCTAGGTAGATTCTACCCTACCATTTAAACGATCCTGATGACACAGATACCAAGATGTGTCTGTTTACACAGTGCAATGGCATGAAAAAAATATTTTTCTTCTTCTATTACTATTTTTCTTCTTCTATAGTCCCTGACTGTAAACAGGGAAAAATTAATTTCATACAAAAATGTTAGGGTGCTTCAACAACCATTTCATTTCTGCTACTAAAATAACAAAACTGGTATTACAAGTTAAAAGATAAAGGCCTAACAAATTTTACAATAGGCAAATAATCTGCTACTTAGACATAAAAAGTTGATTTCTTTCAAATCACGAAGTAAGGCACCATTGGATTAAATATTTTTCTTGGCTTTGCTAAATAAAATGCATAATGAAATAAATACAGAACACTGAATTTTAATACTGTAATACATTTCAATATAAAATGATATGTGAATGTTAAAATACTGTATTGGCTCTTGAATACATTTATTTAGAAATCTTATGGAAAAAACATACATGTAAGCTCTGACTTCAAGGGAAGAAAATGTTCATTTTTATGATTTCCCAAGGTTAAAGATTTTCATATAAAACTTATTCAAAGTTGTGGATGCAATTAATTGCTAATTTTCAAACAAAGGGCATAGGTGTATTCATGAAACATTCCCTTAAAATATATTTTAGAACATCTCTATTCTGGATGAAAGGCAACTTTGAGCTGTTACTCTGTTTCATACTTTAGAAAGGTACCTGCAAATTTGAGATATACAAGGACTTGTCCAACTTCTTTTATAAATTTTACCTTTTACAAAATTCAGACCCGCTCTCTTTGGGTCACACTTTCCTCTGCTGATTTGTTAGGAAGGCCCAATGCTATTTTTTGTGACTTGGGTCATTGGACTTCATCAGACAGGTGTTAGTCACTGTTAACATCAGAACAAAGGATCCAAAATAAAATCATGCTGCTAAATTACCAAATTAGAAATAAAGAAATTTAAAAATATCTTGGGCCCAGCTTGTTACATACCTTTATATTTCTTGATTCTCTCTGAGTAACAGCCCCAAGTGACAATAGCCACCAGACAGAGGAATGGCAGATGAGGGGGAGGAAAACAAGTTGTCTAATGTACCCAGCCCAGGACTTTGGCATGGGGAGTTATACAAGTACAGTATATTCAAATCAGCAACTTCAGAGTTTATTAGACATTCCATTTATTAGAACTCTTAAGTTCTGCTTTTATATAAATGAAACAGTTATTTAAGTCTATAAATAGGAATGCATCTTTCAAAATTTTCTTTGGATTGATTCCTTGTTAGCATCTCCTAGTAATACATAAACAATACACTGAATTCAATAGACTGATACAAAGTTTAGGTAGATATACATATACATACGTGATCATGTGCTTTTAAAAAATGAGTAATGGCAATTTTAAACATAACCATATAAAACATCAAAGTGGAATATATTTCTTCCAGCTCTATAGCTAGATTGAAAAGTCCCAGTAAAATTTTGTAAACAAAATCACATAAAAAAAAGGCAAGGTTGGCTCTTCCTTCTGGTCCTTTAGTGGAGCTTTATTTGCATAGATCTAGGACAAATGATTCTATCGGACAGATTCAAAGTAACCCACTCCCCAATTCTACTAGCAAACTCCCCAATTCACTCAATCCCATAAGCATCAGAGTTAGATTTTTAAGAGTTTTGCCCATCAACTCAAATCCGTTACGCATTTCTGTGCTTCTGTCTTGATAGTTTTCTCCCTCCTCTCCTCCAGTCTAGCCGCCCTAGCCTTTCCCGGCCCTGAGGAGCTTGCTCAGTGGGAGGGAAACAAAGGCCACTTGAACCCTGCAAGGCAGGCGTCGGACTGACAAATGAGTGCACGAGGCAGCTGGTGCTGAGCCTGAGCCCCAACAGCTTTCAGTTTCTTTCCGGTGGCTTTAATCCATGTGACTGTAAACCGTACGAGATCAATTTCTGACCTTGATACTGTGAAACAACACTTGTACACAGACATGAAAGGAAGAGGATAAAGAAGGGGCCAACCTCTAGGGTCAAGCTGCCTGCCAAACAAAGTGTTGGTTCCCAACTTTATTTTTAGGTACTTCTTGAATGGTTAAAACTCATCTTACCTATTTTTGCTTTTAAACAATAGGTTTCTATACTAACTTCCATCTTCCTGGCTTGTGCTGTCCAGCAGAGTGGCCACTAAGCACAGGCTGCTACCGAGACTTGCCCTGTAACTAGTCCGAATGGAGATGTGCTCTAAGTATAGAATACGCACTGGATCTGGAGGACTTGGTACCAAAAAGAATGTAAAATATCTCATCAATAATTCTTAAGTGGGGGGCTGGGGATTTAGCTCAGCGGCAAAGCACTTGCCTGGCAAGCGCAAGGTCGTGAGTTCGGTTCCCGGTACCGGAGAAAAACCAAAAACAAAAAAAAAAAACAAAAAAAAAAACTTCTTAAGTGGATTAGAGGTGGAAATGATGTTCTGGATGTACAGGTCTAAGGAAAATATATTAAAATTACCTTCTCCTGTTTCTTTTTACCTTTACAAAAATGTGCCTAGTAGAAATTTAAAAACTATATATGGGGCTCCCATTATATTTCTATTGGACAGCTGTGCCCTTGCGCCTACCTGGAATGCCCAGGACTCGGCATTCTGTAACTGCAGAAGCTTCGTGTGAGCCCTTGCTCAGCAACTCGCCTTGGCGGTCTGTGGTTCATGGAAACAGGCTCACAGGAGGCCAAGCATGTGAAAAAAGCACGGGCAATAACAGCTCTCCGGGGCTTTCATAATTATAGCCTGTAGCAAACTCAGGGAATGTTTGGTTGAGGGCCGGGATACAATGCGTCTCTACCTATTTGCACAAAAGTCTACGGATCCCAAAGCCAACACTGGCAGGCTGTAGCTGAAGCAAGCAATAGCTGTGAGAATATACAGAACATAAAAAGCTAGGTGCGTTTCTCTACTGGATCCCCACCCCCTCACACACAAATTCCCCTCACCCTCTCTTCTTCCTGCCTGCCACAAATGAAGGGGACAGGGGAAGGGGAAGAGGGTGTGCAATTCTCAGACAGCAACAACAGAAGGCGCTCTGGAGCCTAGAGAGAGAAGAGCAGGCAAAGATCACCTTGGGATGGGAGGAAGGGGAGGGGCACCCCTTTCTCTTCGGTTGGATCCACCTAGACGAAGAAACAGACAGAATATAATTTTGGTTAGAAAGCTTATACTCTACTGTGGAAACTAGGGGTGGCTGCAAAGGTTCCCACTACCTCACCCCCCTCTGACCCGGCTGAGGCTAACTGGCATACGTGGATGGGAAAGGAAGAAGCACGGAGTGATGGAAGTGACCGCCACCGGACGGTGACCACCACTCGCCACTGACGTGTACAGGGCTCAGCAAACACACATGCTTTTCTTCTCACCACACAGTGTGTTGATTATAGATTCAGAAAAGATGAACAAGAACAAAATAAACAATTCCCCCATGCTTGCACCACCCAGAGATAGCCAACAGCAATTATGTGTGTATTTTCCACTTAGAAACACAGTTCTCCTTTTTCTTCTAGAAATACAATCACCAAGAGTCAGTACTCTTTGCAAATATAATTATTAATGACACACTGCATTCTATTATATAAAACTATACCATAATTTTATCTAATCACTTCGTTTGTTGGGTAAGGTAGGTTAACAGGTGTGAAACTGTATCTCAGTGTAGTTTTATTTACATTTCCTTAATGATTAGTGACGTTGAGCATCTTTTCACATGCTTATTGGCCATCTGTGTATTTTCTGCAGAGTTAGGTATTCACTGTTTAGTAGTTGTATTTTTTCAGGTCAAATGGGTTTGTAACAAGGTTTGAGGGAGGCACATCTCATGCATACGGCATGAGCATGCAACCATTGTGCTCATGAACCAAAGCATATGTTTTTGTTTACTGTTCAGTTGTAGGAATTTTTTATACATTGTGAATATTAATCCCTTCTCAAATATATAATTTCCAAACATTTCCTCTCATTCTGTGGGTTGCCTTTTACTCTTCTGCTGTTTCTTTTCACTCTTTTTAAAACTATGCACAGGGGCTGGAGATTTAGCTCAGTGGCACAGCACCTGCCTGGCAAGCATGAGGTCGTGAGTTGATTCCCGGTACTGGAAAAACAACCCCCAAAAAATAAAAAATAAAAAAATAAAGCTATGCACATTCATGGGCTATCAGTGCATTTTAAACCGGGTCTAAAATCCATTGATATTTTGAGGCTTTAACAGGTGTGAGGCACGAAGCCAGGGGCTGAGGCTGCGGCCAGGTCTTCCAGAGGTACAGGACAGGTGAACAGGTCTGCTTTGGTCACCGCTCTGAGATTCACAGGGCTGGCACTGGGTGGAGGGGTGCTTTTTTAGGCATCTTGACAGTGACCCCATGGACTGAGATGTTTAGGGACTTCTGAGACAGAAGCAATCTCTGAGCTAGGAGAGGAGATGCAGGAAGACCCTGGCAGTCCACTGAGTTATCAAATCCTTTCACCATCCCAACCCAGTCTTTTCTTAAGCAGGCCCCGAACAAAGACTTATCCGAATAAAAACTGGCTTCCTGTCGTGCAGCCTTGACTGTCAGATGACACATCACATGTGCTTAGTGAAATAAGGGCCCGCCTTGTCTGACCCTGCCAAGAGGCGGCATGCACAGTGCGCTCCGCGGGGCTCAAGACTGCCTAGGTGCTCCACCAGCTCTGGCCCTGGAGGCTGAGGCAGTTACAGGAACATAATAAAACTTGGCTCTTGATGGTATCTTATTTACTTTTATTAGATGAGGTTATCTAAAGCAAATGTGCAAAAAGCATTTTGGGGGCAGTGGAAATTTACCAGTTTAAAAATATTTTTAAATGCTTATTATAAGCCAGGTTCTATGTCACTCAGGGAAGATGCAATAGTGAGCAGGATATTGTTATAGCTCTCAAGCTGTTCCTTCGAATCTTAACCCAGGTATTGACTGTGGCACACACCTGTAATTTCAGCAGTCTGGGAGGCTGAGACAGGAGGATTGCCAATTCAAGCCCAACCTGGGCAGTTTAGCAATTTAGGGAGACCCTTGAAAAAAACCTTTTGAAAAAGAGACATAGTGTGAAGGTTTGACACTAAATACAGAAAGGAAAGGGAGGAAGGAAGGAAATGTGTTTAGCTATAAAATTAAACTTTAGAGGGTATGGGGAAGATGGTTCTGTTACTGACTTAAAATGCAAATAATATTCAAATTAGATTAAAATGCCTATAATGAGGGAGGGAAAATATTTAGACTCCTTAAAGTGAATTCAGTTATAAGTGCCCAAGACAGAAGGAAAACAGGCTATACTCTTATCAGACAGAAGCCACTTTCTGAAGAAGACACATATAAAACATTCAAAGGGTATCTGTTCCATGTGAAAACTTATTTTTCATTAAAAATTTCAACCACTAATTTGTTTTGGGTTTTTGAGACAGAGTCTCACCATGTAATCCAGACTGGCCTCGAGTTTGCAAACTTCTTGCCTCAGCCTCCTGAGTGCTGAGACTAGAGGCCTGCACCACCATGCCTGGCTCCCAACTACTCATAGGATCACTTTATTCTACTCATAACTTTTCATTATGCATTTTTAGGAATGTAGTGTTGTAACTAAATGAATTTTTCTAGGAATTAAAGAGTTCTTTCAAGCAGCAATGTTATGTTTTCTTCTGGACTTTGTTCAAGGAAATTTCCCCAAGAGTCACAAAGTGCAATTTGAGTCACTGGTGGTGTCCTGTGCTGGACCATTTGGAACAGCTGTGTCCCTTACTCCTCCTTTGACCTGAGACTGGCATCTATCCGTTCTCTCCCGCATCAGGATTTCTGCTTCTAATCATCCTTAACTTCAGCTGATATTAACCTGCTCTAAGACTGGGAACCAACCACCAAAAACTGCTTAAGATCTGTGTGATAAGAAAGAGTCAGAGGATGTGTAAGCTGCGCTGCTGGAAGGGTATGGCTAGGGAGGCTGTAACAGTTATTTGATTTGCTTAGTCTGGTTCCGGGGCTAAGGCTGGTACAAGTCTGAGCCTCATCCATGCTCTCTGCATATTTCATGCTAATTATTTCTTGGTCCTGAACATTTATCGTTATGAAAGAGCAGTACACATATTTCCCCTTTTTGTTCACATTTATTCTTCAGTGGGGAAAGTGATTTTCTTCTTTATGGCACCATAACATATTAACAAACAACCAGGAACAATCTAAATGTCCAGGAATGCTAAATTATTGCATGCTGGCTTGATGGACTCTTATGGAATAAAAACTATGTGATAAAATGGAAAGTGTTTACTAAGCAATGTTATGTAAACCCTACCACCAAAAAAACTATACCCTGTCATTATAACTATATAAAAAAATCTGAATTGCATGGATAAATTTTGTTTTGTTTTTGAGACAGAGTCTTGCCATGTAGTCCAGGCTGGCCCTGAACTTACTATACAGTCCAGCCTGGCCTCAATCTCATGGTGATCCTCCTGCCTCAGCCTCCCAAGTGCTGAGATTACAGATGAGCACCACCACACCTGACTGAATTGTATGCATAAGAATAGAAAGAGCCTGGTAAAATCTTTTTTTTTGGAGAGATTATGGATATATTTAACGTATCACAGAATGCTACATAAAGCAATGGTTATAATACATTTAAAAGATCAAGGCAGTTGTAGTGAGCTTTTGTGACAATTAATAAAACATTCTGCCAGTCTCAAAATGAGTAGGAATAAAGACCAGGGATATAGCTGAGTGGCACAGCACCTGCCTAGCAACTCTGAGGTCCTAAGTTTGATTCCTGATACTTACAAAAAAAAGTCACTTAACTCTTTCAAATGACTGTCAACCAAGGAATGGTGAAAAAAGATGTGGTATTTTTATACAATGGAGTACTACTGAGCTATAAAGAAGGATAAACTTGAGAGACTTTTATAGGTAATT